TATCTGAACAAAAAATGGAAAAATGTCCTCGGGTAAGGATAAAAAAAAAATCATTTGTAAAGTAAGGGGGTGGGTGGCATTCGTGAGATCCACCTCAAGAGGACATAACCCAGGGAGAGCGTGCATTCTGCACACATGGCGGTGTGTCCCGCCAGCCAGTGTGCCTCCCGCGGCACGTGTGATGGGAAAGGGGAGAACGGTGAGTCAGCACTCTCTGGGCAGACTGCAGCTCCCACACTGCTGGTCAGCGCCGGTCCCAGTGCTCCAGGTAAGAGGCACGCAGGTCAGCGGAGGGGATCGGGCCTGTCGGAGCCGGGCCTGGGCTCTTCAGCTCTTTCTCTAGAGAGATTTATCCCGGGGACAGTGTTTGCAAACTGGCCCGAGACGGTATCTCCAGGGTTGGGGACCTGCCGAAGCCGGGGCTCCCCAACTTCTTCACCTCACCCTTAGCAGCTCAGGAGGTTTCTCGTGGTGCTTTGAGGCCGAAAGAAATGCCTGAATAGTTTTGTTTTCTTTTCTTTACCTATTTTGATCCGAACCACATAAAAATGAATGTCTTAGTGACTTAATAGTCATTTTTAAAAAATAGTTCACATAAATTTAAAAATATATATATTTTCATTTAATTCTTAAATAACTGCATCTCCTGCTCCAAATAGATGCTCACTTGGTGGTTGTCCCTTGGCTTCTTGTTGTCGTGTTGATCACAGTGACCTCCGGAAACCCAGCTTTGCAGACATAGGAGCCATCGAGAGACGGGCAGCGCGAGACACACGGACCCCGTGAGCTGCCTCGACTCAGTGATTCACGCGACATCCAGCAGGTGTCGAGTGTCCCTGCGTGTCCCTCAAAACTGTAACATCTCCCGCTGCACCCTGTGAGCTGGGCACCCCGGGGTGCCTTGGTACACAGTAGGGGAACTGAAGGCCCAAGCATTTGTACCGGCATTTCGTCGACAATCTTGAGTTCTGGATAATGTCCTTAAAAACCTGGCCATTTTTTAGCTCAAATCAGGCTGTCTAATTACCTCCTCGTTTTGTGCGGGACGGACTGGACTCTTTCAGTGAAGAAGCCGGCGGTAGGGTGTGGCCAAATGTGTGTCACAGGCCACCTGTCTGGCTAGCGGGCAGGCAGCAGGTGCCTCGGGTTTGGTTATCATGGCCTGTTCTTGCAGCTGTCGCTTGCCTTTTGCCCCATTGACGTGGTGGGGGTTTAACATGTATCTGCTCCTTCTTTTCTGGTTTTGTCCTCTGGTTGCCGTCCGCTCTGTGCGGCGCCGTGTGGAGCGGAGCGGACGCCTTCGTGTCGGGAAAGGCCTGCTTGTTCCGACAGACTGAGCCGCCTTCCTGGAGCTGGTGTGTGTCTCGTCCACCAGCCAAGGGGCAGGCGAGCTCCCTGCCAAGCCGTGGGCCAGCCCCGCCTCGGGGAAGTGGGGTGGAGTCAGGGCCCTGCGGGGACAGGGCAGCACGTTCTCTCTGCAGGGCAGGGCGGGGCAGAGCCATGGGTCCCAGGCAAATCCAGGGAGGAGCAAATACTGTTAAAAAAAAAAAAAAGCTTAAGAGGCAAGTCTAAGATCCAATTCATTTACTGTTCACTGCATTAGCTTTCGGTTCGGGGAAAATGAAAATGTCAAAAATTGTCTGGCCGGTGTGGCTCAGTGGTTGAGCATTAACCCCTGCACCACGAGGTCGCCAGTTCGATTCCCAGTCAGGACACATGCCCAGATTGTGGGCCCGATCCCCAGTGGGGGGCGTGCAGGAGGCGGCCAGTCGATGTTTTCTCTCATCAATGTTTCCATCTCTTTCTCCTTCTTCCTTCCTCTCTCTCTACAATCAATAAAGGGAAAAATAAATATAAATAAATTTTTAAAAATGTTAGAAGTTAAAATCTGGTGGTATTGGTGATTTGCATAATGACGTCCTAACACACACACCTCTCCCACCAACCTGAACTTGTAAACATCTTTGATTTGAGAGAGAGAGAGAGAGAGACATCAATTAGTTGTCCACTTATTGACACATTCCTCGGTTCTTGGACATGCCCTGACTGGGGATGGACCCGCAACCTCAGCCTCTCAGGATGACAGTCTAACCGACTGAGCTGCCCCGCCAGGGCCCCGGCCTGAATCTTTAAGTGAACTTTATACCCCACACAATTTGGGTCCAGTCTTATTGCTGTGATGAAAAGTAGTGGGACCGGAATACTCAAAGTGATGGCGAGAAGAGAGGCTGTGGGCAGGCCCTTTCCTTATAACGCACTTGCCTCGCCTGTTCAAGCCTGGAGATTAGACCAACTTCAGATGAGCTGTTAGGACAGGAAACGGACGCGGGCCAGGAGGCAGACCTGTTGTGCGTGGTCTGCTCTCTTGCAGGCAAGGATGTGGGGATAAAGCTGACTTCTGTATCCTGGTTGTTTGAGTTTTGTTTGTCAGTTCAGATCAGTCTTATCTTGAGCAAAGCAGAGCTCAAGTCCTGGCTTACGCGATACGACGTTAATTGGAGAACTTTCAAGAATCTAGAATTTTTATGTGTTGCGCAGACGTGCGGCGCCATTACCCTATCAGTTTGTCTGTTGCTGCGTAAAAAAAAAAAAACCCTCCAAACCTTCATGATTCAAAACAGCCACAGTTTGTTTTCTGTTTTGCTTTATTTTGTTTTACCCACAACCTTGTAATTAGGGCAGAGTCCACGCGGGGGCCGCTGGGGCCGCTCAGCCAGGGACTGGACGGTCCCCTGAAATGTGGCTGAGACACTGGCCGGCCGCTCAGATCTCAGCCAGGGCTACCGGGCCTCAGTTCCCCTCCACGTGACCTGGCCCCGGGCAGCTGGGCTTCAGGAGCACGTATCCGGAGAGGGAGGAGGTGCCCGGGCGTCCGCACACCCGTGTTTCAGCCGCAGGGACGCCGAGCCCGCTCTCGGGGGGCAGGGATCACCTCACTGGGGCCTGTGCTCCCACCCAGCAGCGGTGCCCACACGCCACGCTTGCCAACAGTGCGTCTCCTCTGCTAGAACGTCTCCTCCGAATCAGCTTCTGCCGTGAGAGATTTTGTTCCCCAGCTAGGAGAGGCTGTGTTGGGTGGAGTCACCTGGGTTCTGGGGAAGCAGCTGCTTCTCCAGCTGGGAAGCAGGGCAGGGGACACAGTCCCCGGCTGACATCTCTTTAGCGCGCAGAACATATCGTGTGGCAGGCATGGCTGTGGCCACTTAGCCTGTGTCAGCTCATGGCCATGGGAAAGATGCCAGCGTCATCCTGGCTTCTCAGAGGGAGAAACTGAGGCACAGACACCAAGGTGGCTTTCCCAAGGTGTCTCTGTCGGCAGGTGATGGGACAGTGATTCCAGTTCCATGTGTCAGGCAGAGGCCGCTAAAGCATGGCCGGTGATGCTGAAGGACATTCTGGAGGTTGTCCGATGGTCCCAGGCAGCGGTGAGAATATAAATTAAAACCACCGTGAGGCGTCACCTCACACCTGTTAGAACGGTTACTATTAAAAAGACAAAAAATGGCATGCTGGGAGGGTGTGGAGAAACAGGACCCCTGTGCACTGTTGGTGGGAATGTCAGTTGGTGCAGCCACTGTGGAAAAATATGGAGGTTTCTCAAAAATTAAAAATATGGCTAACACATAATCCACTTCTGGGTATTATTTATCTGAAGAAAACAGAAACACTAACTCAAAAAGATATCTGCATCCCCATGTTCACTGCAGTATTATTTACAAGTATTATTTACAATAGCCAAGATATGGAAACAACCCACTGTCCATCCATGGATGAGTGGATAAAGAAAATGTGACATATTTAATGGAATATTATTTAGCCATAAAAAAGAGTGAAATCTTGCCATTTGTGACAATCTGGATGGACCTTGAGGACATTGTGCTCAGTGAGATAAGTCAAATAGAGAAAGACAAACTACCACATGATCCTACTTATGTGTGGGACCTAAAAACAAACAAACAAAAACCAAGATCATAGATACAGAGAACAAATTGGTGGTGGGCAGAGGTGGAGGGTAGAGGGTGGGCAAAATGGGTGAAAAACATCAAAAGATACAAACGTCCAGTTTTAATATAAATAAGTTACGGGGTGTCGTATACAGCATGGTGACCATAGTGAACAGTACTGCACTGCATGTTTGAAATGAGCTAAGACAGTAGATCTTCAAAGTTCTCATCACGCCTGGCCGGTGTGACTCAGCGGCTGAACGTCGACCCTGCACCAAGAGGTCGCTGGTGCGATTCCCGGTCAGGACACCTGCCCAGGTTGTGGGCCCGATCCCCAGTGGGGGCATGCAGGAGGTGGGCAATTGATGTTCTGTTTCATCGATGTTTCCATCTCTCTCTCCTTCTCCCTTCCTCTCTCTCTAAAATCAATGAAGAAAAAAAATAAAAAGTTCTCATCACAAGAAAAACCCTGTAACTACATGAGGCGAAGGATGCTGACTAGACCCCAGGATGATCGTTTTGTGACATACAAATGCTGAATCACTAGGTTGTCCACCTGAAATCATACAATGTTGCACGTCAACTCTGCCTCAATAAAAAAAGTTATCTATTCTGAGGGGAAAAGAGATTTCAACATTCAAATTTGTGAGGGGTACGATTTTGCCTGTAGCAGCCCATTCCTGCATTCCCCAGTAGGAACACCTAAACCTTCTAAGTATGTAAACATATTAGATGTGAAATTCTTGTGTGAAATTGTTTTTCTCATCTTCTACCACCAACGACACTTTACTACAGGTGTTTACCTGCTTACTGTGTCTTCTACTGACCAGAAACGTCTTGAGGGCTCCAGGTGTAACCCCGACCTCAGTGCTGGGAACACCCTTCAGGAAAGCGACACCATCCCCTCTGCACGTAACTTCATTTCTCCTGCAGAAAGTAGTTCGGCACAGAAGCCATCCCAGGCGTCAGGGGCCCGGAGAGGAGAGCTTGGGGCAGGGAAACGGGTTCTGGGGACTGCCCCCAGGGCCCCGCTCACCCACCTGTTCTCTTCTGCAGCTGGTCTTCTGCCGGGACTGTAAGGAAGCATACCACGAAGGCGACTGCAGCAGCCTGGGCCCCTCGGAAGCAGCTCCTCAGGTACAGTGCCCTCCTCCTCCCTCCCGGTGCGGGTTCTGGTGGGCGAAGGTCATCGAGGGCCCCACTGTGAGAGAGCGAGAACCAGACCGGTAGCCTGCAGCTGTCAGGACCCTCCCAGAGCCCCGCCCCTGGGGCGGGGCTGCAGACTGCCCAGGTGTGGGTGCAGCTATTCCGAGGTCCTGTTCCCCAGAGGGACACGGAACAGGGGTAAGGGACACAGCTGGATCAGAGGCGTCTTGGGAGGACAGGTAACCCAATTTAACCACTTCTGAATCGGAGAAATCAATACTAACCCCATGTTTATTTTTTTCAAAAATCTGTTTAGAATCTTCGGGGAAAATAATCCCCATGAACGAAATGCAGGGCTCTCGCTGTTGTGCGGCAACACCACGAACTGTGCGGGGTTGTATTTCGGTCTGGACTGGGTGAAGGGCGCTGTTTACCGCCCTCGCTCTCCAAGGTGCCATCCCAGCTTAGGGAAATGCGAATACGTCTCTTTAATTTATTAATTATGATCAGCCCAACCCTAAGGGAAAGGACAGAAACCCTCAGCACCGTTGATGAATTTGCTCATTATTTTTCTCCTGATATAGAGGTTAACGGGTTTAAACACCAGACCTACCCAGATAAATCCTGTAGTCATTTTATTGACAGGAACCTCATAAATCAACATAGAAATTCCAGAACATTTTAATTTTATAGTAGAGAATTTTAAGCATCTGAATGTCATAAAGCCAAAGCATGAAGTATATCCCTGTAAGGATTCTGAGGAAATATTTACTCAGTGTTAGCGTAATTAAATAAACCTAATTAGCAAATTCAGGTCTTCTCATCAGCTCCTAAATGTTGGCCATGAGCATGTTGAGATATTTAAGACCGAATTGCCATTTCTATTACAGAGGCAGCAAAAACTCTTTCTGTTAATTTTATTTAAGCTCAGAAGCATCCAAATGAGAGGTCCCTGGGTGCTGATGTTGGGGACAATAATGACCTTGAGACCACTCCGCCCTTGCCTCAGAATCACTGTAGCCCAGAGGGTGGAGCCCGAGGCTCTGGGAAATACCGCTGATCTTGCAACTTACATCCATATGCTTTTACGGTCCCAAGCACACACACAGGCTTCTGAGAAGCAACACCCCAGCACCTGTTCATTTCCAAACAGTTGCAGTAAGGTAAAGAATAGCACTGCCTAACATAAGACTGTCCAGGTGCCCTACCCATAATGTCCTCCATTCTTCATTCGAGAGGAACCAACCTAGATATTCAAGATTGAGGTAGCCCAAATATTGTTGTTTTTTAAGTCACTAAAGCCTTAATGTTCGACTCAGAAAAATGGGAGAAACTTAGAGCTGGCCTTCAGCATGGATAAGCAGCACCAAGAGCCCCGTGTTTGCACTGAATAGCTGAGCAAATGCTCACCTAGAAACAGGTAGGCAAGGCTGAGACGCACCCCCACCATAAACCCCACCCCAGCACTGCACATACGTCTGGGAGGGACCACCCCGGTCCCAGCTTCTCCTGGAAGGGTAAAGGGTCTGCACCCTGCCTCTAGTGCCCCAAAGGTCAAGACATCCACCAGAGGGGCTGGCTTTCAAAGCACCTGCCTGTGAAAGCCAACAGCACGTATGTCCATGAGACCTACAAGACTACAGCAAACAAAGAAGGCGCTTTTAATGTGCGCCAGGCACAGAGGAGCAGGCAAAGAAGGCGCCCCCTGGTGGAGGAGAGGGGAACAGCGGCGGCTCGGGAATCTGGATTCTGGGACACACCTGCCTCTCTCATCGCAGCTGTCTCTCGGCCACTTGCTGCCTTTGCACACAAGTGTGGCCCGGGAATTGGAAAGATTGTATCTAGATGCTTCAGAAGCTCCTGCCCAAGGGCCAGGCTTCTAAGTGAGCATGTCTTCAGGGGCCAGCTGCCGTCTCCCCAGAGATCGGGGAAGCCAGCAAACAAACCTCTCACCTTCCCCCTCCTGTCCTCGCCAATAATAAAAACAAGTCACCAGTGTGTCCCTGAAAGGAGCTTCTACACATGTCTGGCACCCCATCTTTTGCAGCTGCCACCTAAAGAGTGGGTCCCCGGACCGCTTGGCCCTGATAGCCAAAGGGGTTTGCATTCATGAGTCCTACGGGACTGTTCTTAGTGGGTGTAGGGGCACCGCCACCATCATCCGCACCTGCCCACCATGGCTGTATACCCAGGCCAAGTGCAGAGAGCAGGCAAAAGTGCCCATCCCCCAGGTGCTCCCAGAAGGGACCTAACTGCATACTTTCCCAGCTGTTGCCCGAGGGCCCTGCTTCTAATCGGCTTCCATCTGCAGGCTGACTGCAATCCTCCCCTTTGGGACACTGAGAGGTCACCGCCCACTCCCACCAGGCCTCTGCCGTCTCTGAGGAGAGGCTGGGAGACGTGCCCCCTGGTGGAGGAGAGGGGAACAGCGGTGGCTCGGGAATCTGGACTCCTGGGCACACCTGCTCTATCTCATCGCAGCTGTCTCTCGGCCACGTCCTGCCTTTGCACACAAGTGTGGCCCCAGAACTGGAGACGGGGACATTTATTATTCCCGGAGGTCTAGGTGCTCAGTTATTTGGGAGTGTCGTTCCGGCATCACTGGCTGGTTTAAGTAAAACAGCGTCATTGGTGCCACTTTAAGCCCAGAGGACAGACCAAGTACGTGCAGGGGTGGCCCTGCTTGGCCTTCAGTGGGCAGAGTGCCCAAGGCAGGGCCCGGCCTCTGTGGGGCGTCTCCAAAGCACCCAGCATGCGGAAGGCTGGCTCCGGCCAGCGGGAAGGGCCCGGCCAGTGCGGAGGGACCAGTGGTGACTTCCCCCACCTCCCCGGTCACTCCGCGACTTGCAGTGTTTCCGCCGGCCACGGGGCCAGGAAGATCTGCTGAGCTGTACATAGGATGTACGTGAAGCGTTCTGTACGTTGGGAAGTACTGCAAAGTGGTCAAACTTTGAGGTTTGGCTATTTTTAAGGCTGAATGCCAAACATGTACATTATAGAGAGGGAGCATGAAAGACAACATTAAAGATCAATGAAAGCACGCGCACACACATGCACACACACGTGCACACACACGCGCGCGCACACACTCAGTGTGCCCAGTGTGCCAGAGGCGGGCCTGGACCACGCAGACCCCGGTCTCCGTCTCTCCAAGAACCTTCCTATCCTTCGAGAATCGTCCTGTCCTCTGTGGGGCCGTCTCTGAGCCCCTCCCTCTGCAGGTCCCTGGGGCTCAGGCCCCCCCCCCCCCAGCTCCTCCTGCTAGAGGCCACCCGTCCTCATGGGTTCCTCTCTGCCTGGCGCCCTCACGGAGGGACAATCTGCAAGGTCCCCTGGCTCCCCCCGGGCCCCACCTGGAGCTCCGCTTTCCTTCCAGGGGAGCCATCCTCCCGCCTGGGCACCGGCCCTCGCTGCCCGGATCCCTGCCAGCCTGCAGGCAGAGGGCTGCGTGTAGAGCCCTCGCCCCAGTGTCAGGTGTGTCCCGCCTCGAAGCGAACGCCGTTAGGACCGTTCACTGGGGCCGTGGAGAGGATTTCAACAGAAACTTGTTATCACACCTACCCACACCCCACACTCACCACACACATCACATACACACCCAGTGCACACACTCACCACACACACTATATACACAACCCACACACCACGCACATACCACACCCCACACTCACCACACACATCACATACACACCCAGTGCACACACTCACCACACACACTATATACACAACCCACACCACACACATACCACACCCCACACTCACCACATATACACCCAGTGCACACACTCACCACACACACTATATACACACCCCACACACCACCCACATACCACACCCAACACTCACCACACGCATCACATACACACCCAGTGCACACACTCATCACACACACTATATACACAACCCACACACCACACACACACCACACCCCACACTCACCACACACATCACATACACACCCAGTGCACACACTCACCACACACACTATATACACAACCCACACACCACACACATACCACACCCCACACACATCACATACACACCCAGTGCACACACTCATCACACACACTATATACACAACCCACACACCACACACACACCACACCCCACACTCACCACATACACACCCAGTGCACACACTCACCACACACACTATATACACACCCCACACACCACACACATACCACACCCAACACTCACCACACGCATCACATACACACCCAGTGCACACACTCATCACACACACTATATACACACCCCACACACCACACACATACCACACCCAACACTCACCACACGCATCACATACACACCCAGTGCACACACTCATCACACACACTATATACACAACCCACACACCACACACACACCACACCCCACACTCACCACACACATCACATACACACCCAGTGCACACACTCACCACACACACTATATACACAACCCACACACCACACACATACCACACCCCACACTCACCACATACACACCCAGTGCACACACTCACCACACACACTATATACACAACCCACACACCACACACATACCACACCCCACACTCCCCACATACACACCCAGTGCACACACTCACCACACACACTATATACACACCCCACACACCACACACATACCACACCCAACACTCACCACACGCATCACATACACACCCAGTGCACACACTCATCACACACACTATATACACAACCCACACACCACACACACCACACCCCACACTCACCACACACATCACATACACACCCAGTGCACACACTCACCACACACACTATATACACAACCCACACACCACACACATACCACACCCCACACTCACCACATACACACCCAGTGCACACACTCACCACACACACTATATACACAACCCACACACCACACACATACCACACCCCACACTCACCACATACACACCCAGTGCACACACTCACCACACACACTATATACACAACCCACACACCACACACATACCACACCCCACACTCACCACATACACACCCAGTGCACACACTCACCACACACACTATATACACAACCCACACACCACACACATACCACACCCCACACTCACCACATACACACCCAGTGCACACACTCACCACACACACTATATACACACCCCACACACCACACACATACCACACCCAACACTCACCACACACATCACATACACACCCAGTGCACACACTCATCACACACACTATATACACAACCCACACACCACACACACACCACACCCCACACTCACCACACACATCACATACACACCCAGTGCACACACTCACCACACACACTATATACACAACCCACACACCACACACATACCACATACATACACTCACCACGCATGCTACACACCACACACTACACACCACACACATGCACTCACCACACACACTACACACCACACACATAGACTCACCACCACACACGCTACATACTACCCACACACACCACACACATGCACACCACACACATGTACTCACCACACCACATACACTCACAACACACTGCATAAACACACATACCACACACATACACTCACCACACACCACACACACACGTACATGCACACGCACACGCGCACCCCGAGATGGGACCCCGCCAGGGGCAGCGCTCCTGCAGTCCTCGGCCTCTCCAGGCGCAGGGAGAGGAGACACGGCTGCTACACGCCTCTGCCTCACCAGATGGCGCTAAGTCCTTAAGAGAAATAATATGTTTTGCAAGAAATGGTGGCCAAGAGCTAAATGACAGGGGAAGGAGTGTTTGCTGTTTTCAAATGGCCGCAGGAGCGTCAAAGGGCCGTTTCCGTTTCCGCGGGAGGCAGAGCGAGGGTGACCTGGGCCCTGGCTGCTAACCCTTCAGCGTCTCCCTGGGAACTGGGCGGGGACCTGCTGTGCTCACCCACAGGGGCTCCTGGGCTGTCCGTGGGGAGGTGGCCCTCCTGCTCTATCCGACCACCTCCTTCCCAGTGCAAGCCTCGGGCACAGCACTACCTGAGTTCACATTCACTCCCCAGCAGGAACTAATCGACCCTACCCCCCGGTCCTGTGAGGCACCCAAGGCAAGGAAGTCCACACACCTGGTCTGGGGCATGAGGGCCGGCCCTGCGCTGGCATGGGCTCGTTTCTGCGCCAACTGACGAGGCTGTGTTGCTCAGCTGTCCCGCAGGCATGAGTCCAGGGCTGCTCGGAGGGGATCTGGAAGACGAGGTCAACATCAGCCAATGGTTGGCTTGAGTAAAGGTGATGACTCAGGGCGGGTGAGCCGCATCCCATCGCTGACACAGCCTCAGGAGCAAAGACTGGGGTTCCCAGAGAGGAAGGAATTCTTTCTGCCTCAAGACTGAGACCCCGGAACCCTGCCTGAGTCGCAGGCTGCTGGGCTGCCTTACAGATGCTGAGCCTGCCGGCTCCCACAATGCCCTGAGCCAGTCCTTCGAAGAACCCCGTGTATTTTAGAGACACGTATGTATACCCTGCTCGTTCTCTCTCTGGAGAACCCTGACAGGCACCCCCGCTGTAATGATCACTAAGGGAACTATGCAGCCTCTCAAAGCCGCGCTTACCTCATCTGTAAGATGAGATCGTGACATGACAAAGACTAAGGACGCACTGCTTGCATAACACCCAGCTCAGGACCTGACCTGCACAGTGTGAGCAGCTGTCATCCCAGTGTGCACAGCCCCCCGGGGTAGCCTCAGGCTGGGGACCTGTGCGAGCACACACACACACACACAGTCCGTTCTACCTGTGCGGACAGGTACGCAGCGTACACAGACGTTCTGAAGCAGGGCTTCGCCAAGGGTTACCCACAGACTAGCTGCGTGAATGTCACAAATTCCTGGGCCCCCCCCAGAACTACTGGTTCAGAAACTGGGCAGGGCCAGTGGGGGTCTGTAGCAGTGGGGGTCTGTAGCAGTGGGGGTCTGTAGCAGTGGGGGTCTGTAGCAGTGGGGGTCTGACCAGGCCCCTCGGGTGCTGCTCACACACACGGGTCTCTGGCCACTGCTCTGCTGCCGCATCAGCACCACGAGCAGGTGCTTGTTGTTTGCTGTTGGCTCGTCGTCTTTTGTGTCCTGAGAGTCCCTCGGACCTAGAGCGGTGCCGGCGCATCACAGGCACCCGGCATGTCCGTGCAATGAATGGACCTCTGTGGCTCCGTGTCCTACGAAAACAATAGTCCGCCTCGTACCAGAACAGCTCACTGACACGAAGCGCTTTGTTTTCTGCGCTGGCTTCCTCTTTACGCCGGCGATGCTTCCAAACTCAGAGTCCTGTCGTAGTGGATCGTTTTGATGCAGGCATCCCGGGGTCTGGGACCCGAAGGTCCACAACCCACTGAGGGCTGCTGGCTTCACGCAGGAAAGAATTCAAATGCAAGGCAGCGTAGAGTTTAAAGTGAAAGAGAGGGTGTTCCTGGTGAAGCAATGAGACGGGGTGGCCGCTGCACAGACACAGACTCTCCCACAAGAGAAGGGAAAGAGACCCCAACTGTCTCAAGAAATGGAGCTTATAGATCTGTTTGTCGTTTCTATGGAAAATTACTGGTCCGGGGGGGAACTGTTGGAATTGACTTTAACCTTTCCAAGGTGTATGCTGTGGCCCTCCGCGGTGTGGGCGAGCCACAGCTATGGGCGGGGCCAGTCACCCAGCTCTGCAGGCGTCGTCTTTGTCCAGGCTCCTCGCGGTCTGCTTGTCTCCGGTCAGAGTCAGGCGAGTTCTGTATGGAGCAGCTCCGCCCAGGGCCCTGGCTTCACTTTGGTGACTTCCGTTAATTCATCTGGCTCTCATGCCCCTCTCCGATACTGATGCTAGTGGTGGCTGACCTGAGCCAGCCCCGAGCTGGAGACGTGCCATCAGAAATGCAAGGTGGCCGATCTTCCTTGCTCAGTGCAGGCTCTTCCCATTCGTCCACTTGTGATCATAGTTTAACATGAAGCACTTTGACCTTCCCAATCGATGACACGCTAATCACCTCACTTCTTTTTGTCCATCCTTACCCCAGGATATGTTATTTATTGCTTTTTTAGACCGAGCAGGAGAAAGAGAGTGAGAAACACTGATGTGAGAGAGAAACATTGATGGGTTGCCTCCTGTCCACACCCCAACCAGGGATCTGCAACCCAGGTAGGTGCCCAGACCGGAAATCAAACCTGCAGCCTTTGGTGAGCAGGACAAGCCTCCAACCAGCTGGGCCACCGGCCAGCGCAGGAATCTTGCCTCTCAGTATATATGTGGTTCCATGTCACCAGCAATCCCCAGACAGGAAGTAGACACTATACCCTTTCCTTCCCCTGTATGAAGCAATTAAGAGCATCCAATCCAGATGGGAGGGGAGTCGGGTGGAAAGGTGAAGTGATTAGGAAGTACAGATTTGTTGTTAGACTGACGAACCTCAGAGGGAAGGGGGCAGGGAGGGCAGGAGGAGAGAAACCGAAGAGCTTCTGTGCGTGTGTGCCCAGCTGCAGACACGGGCAACAGTGTGGGGAAGGCAGGAGGGGGCCGGGACTGGGGAGGAGGGGTCCAGGGGGAAAGAGGGACATCTGTAATACATTCGACAACAAAGATAAGTTTAAAATAAAAAGAAAGATTATATGCCAACTATACTTCCATTAAAAATAAACAAATAAATAAAAATAAAATAAGAATAAAAGTTAAGTTAGACACAGAGAATAAGTAAAGCTTCTGCTTGGGGGGAAAAAAAGAAAAGAAAAACAGAAACCCGCTCCAGCAGTGGTAGCGGGTATGCCCTGCACTGGTCACAGAAAGCCCACGTGTTGTCATCATCGGAAACATTCTTCCAAATTACACTCAAAAGCATGGCCTTGGAAGTCGGGAACTTAGTAGAAAGATTGCAGCCTGGCAGCCTACCCAGTCCTTGGCAAGATGCTCCGTTACGTCCTAGCACTTTATTTTTTATCCCTCTGAGAGAGAGACAAATAGCCTAATATATATACAAATATGTATCTTTCCCAAGAAGAGATAGTGGTAGTTTCAAGAATGTGAAAACAACAAAGCAGGTTTTGTTGACATCTTTGTGCAGGAAAGATGATGCAGTGTCCTGGTCCACCAGCAGGGGGCGGGCTGCTGACGAGCAGTGGCCTGGAGTAACGTCCACTGGACTTGGCAGTGACTGGGAACGCTGGGAAGGCTGCCCTGCAGAGGTGGGCGTTTTCAGCAACCGGGTGGCAAGCGAGCCTTCTGGGCGTTCAGTCTGGATGAGAAAGGTTAGAAGTTGGGATTCACCTGGAAACATTCACACCTGAACGAAGCCACCGTTCAGTGATGAACGGCGACCTGGTCCTTTTTGGAAAATGGATTTAAGTGGACTTTAGAATTAGAATATACTTGTGCAGTTATTGACTAAACAGATGTCACAAATCAGTTCCCCACAGCAGGAAAGAACGTGTGTGAATAGTCTCTTCAGTGGTTCTAACATATAGTCCGTGTCTCCAAGCACGAATTTAACAACCTCTACGAAGGCACTTGGGTTTACCTGTATTTTTCCAACAGGACTTAAGGCCAGTCCAGGCCTTCAGCAGTATTTTCGGTTTATGCAGACTCCGATGGTCTGTCTCATCAGAGGTGGTGGTGGTGGTGGTGGTGACGATGATGATGAAGATGATGATGATGATTGTGATCACAGACAATACACTTGTGCATTCAGGGTGCACCAGCTCTGTGCAAGCTCTTTACACATTTATCTCACTGGTTTTCCACTCACGGTACTTACCTTGTGAGGCACACGCTCCACGCATCACACTCAGAGGGGCGGAGCCTGCGCTTGGGCGTCCGTCCACCCTTGCACAGCGAGCAGAGGGCAGCAGGGATGTACCCCGGGCACGGCGGCTTCTGGTCCTGCTCTGAACCACTCCCCATGCTCGGCAACTCCAAGGTCACGGAACAGTTACCACCGTGGAAGCAAACACCGTGGCCCTTTCTTGAGGGATCAATCACTCCAACACTTGACTTTGAAGGGAGCTTTGTTGAAGATATACAGGAAATTACTGAAATTGCTACATTTTTAGCCTTCACATTTGTAAGGAGAGAGACTTGCCCTGCCCCCACACTGCCCTCACACACCTGAGCAGGCGCAGGGCCTAATTCTCACACAGGGCCCGTGTGCGCTGCAGAGTCGCGTGCAGGGAGACCATGCTGAACCTACAAAACTCACGTGCTGGGAACGCAAGAACGAGTCATTGCTTCAGAGCTTGATGACTAAAGCCATAACGGACACCCAGCCAAACACGTTCTTCCTCAGCCCACGTGGAAGGGTTCCCAAACCTCCCTGAGCCCCCACATCTCCAGGTGTGAGCACAAGAATCTGTTGGTTTAAAAACAAAAATCCTTAGGTGACCCTGAAGCAGTGGGCATCCATCTCTCACTGCGATCACTCAGGAAAGATTTGATCATCGGTATCTGGGATGCCCCTCAGGGAGCCTGAGCAGAGATGTGAGAAATAGGCTTGAAACTGACGGCCAGGGTCTCACACAAAGTCACCTGGGCCCAGAGCGCCCAGCGCAGGGTGCTGCCCGGCGTGGATTCTCGGGTCCCCAGTGTCAGTAGACCCGCAGCCGACGTGGGTCTGGCTTTCTCTCCCACACGGATCCCACGGGGTGACGCTGGGGAGTAACTGGGTGACACTAGGGAGTAACTGGGTGACGCTGGGGAGTAACTGGGTGACGCTGGGGAGTAACTGGGTGACGCTGGGGAGTAACTGGGTGACGCTGGGGGCGATGGGGGCGGGGCTCGGAGGCCTTGGTGGTGCTCTGGCAGCTCTGTTCTGCCAACGAGGAAGGAAGCTCAGCCGAGAGGAGCGGGGCTCCTTCCGCCAGCCTAGCTGATAACAAGACCCACCTCATCTGCACTTCTCGTGCAGTGTGCTAGGTTGTGAGAAGCTGCATTTTGAAATTAGTTTTTAATAAGTTAGATGATATATGTCTCTAGTCTCCCTGCCCCAGGGAGCCATGGAAAACCTTGCTCAGAGTTACAAGCCCTTGGGCCTTCAAAAGCAAAACTTGGACCATATTGTTAGAGGAAGTATGTGTGGCATCGAAGGTTAAGACCACACCTGACCTGAGCTGATGGGAAGACGTGCTTAAGATACAAACCTGCTTAGTAAATGTCCCCGTGGTTCTCATTAACCACAGCTTCATCATGGGGATCTCAGCCCCACGTGGTCCTTACGTGGTCCCAAGTGAAAGAAAGTCCTGGGGACCTACGTGTGCTTCCTAGCTGTTCAACTGACTGCTATTCTAACCAAGTATTCACAAGCCACAGGACACCCTCTGCATTACAAAGGCCGTTTCCGTTGTGAACGGGGTAGCTAATCAACAGAAAGAAAGTAGTTTCTCCCCCAGTGACTGTGACCTCCACTGGGGATGCCCCTGGCCTGCCCCTCCTGGTTCACTGGGTCCCCTTCCAGATGACTGTCACACTAGTGCCTTCACTGGGGTGCCCACTAGGTACCAGACACTGTGCCAGACACAGGACATGCAGCGACACAAACATGACCTTGGCCCTGGACGAGTTCGCTTCTACTGGAAATAATGAAAACATACGAATTACTATACAACCAATAAATGCCGCAACTTAGGTATAAACGCAGGAATACACCCCCATAATACTTATTTATAAAGACTGAGAAACATGAGCATCTCGAAAGGATTTGGAATGGGAAGATGAAATGACAACACTTGGGTCTGACTTTGAGGTGCTATAAATTTGTGCAGGACTATCAGTATTATCAGAGTATATTTAAGTATCAGAGCATCTCCTGTCCTCTGATTCCTTCACTAATCTACATTTGAAGTTATTTCCAGTAGTTTCTTAACCTGAAAATAGTTCTGGGAAGGCTTTAAAAGAGTCATTACAAGTTGATAAAATGACTTGCATGTTGATATTAAGTTGAAAGTATAGAAGACATAGAAGAAAGTTGAACAGCAAAGATTTTAGGGTGTCGCCCTGGCCGGTTTGGCTCAGCGGTTAGAGTGTCACCTGCGGTCCAGAGAGACCCGGGTTCGGTTCCCGCTAAGGGCATGTACCTCGGTTGCAGTTTGTCCCCTGGTTGGTCGTGCGAGTGGCAGCGGCTCGATGTGTTCCTTTCACATCGATGTTTCTCTCTCTCTCGTCCTCTCTCTCCCTCCCACTCTATCTGAACAAAAAATGGAAAAATGTCCTCGGGTGAGGATAAAAAAAAAAAAAAAAAGATTTTAGGGTGTCATAGATGGTCCTACTGACCACTTCGGGTTTTTGGACTCATCTGATCCTCGATGTCCGATGAAAGCGAGTGTAGCCCCTGCGGAGGCATCGCTCTGCCAAGAAGTGTGTGAGAGCACCGGCCGCCTTGCCTGCGTAACAGCGCCCAGTTAGGTCCTGTTTCCCACACTCATTCAAAGCAGCGACAGGCGCTCACACCGAGCAACCTTTTCTTAGCTCATCAGCACAGGCCACCGGCCAAGAGCCCACGTTCCGCGCGAGCCCAGCCCCGTCCACCGCTCCTGGGGTGAGTTTGTGTTTGAGCCTCTCGTCTGAGGGCACGTCCCTCTCTCAGAAGGTCCCCATCCCGGTGCTGCAGGATCCTGCCCTCCAGCCCCAGTCTACAGAAGTGAATCAGTCCTGGGTCTTTGTTTCCCCAGGTCTACAGGGTGGATGCGAAGGCTGCAGAGCAAGCTCGCTGGGAAGAATCCTCCAAAGAAACCATCAAGAAGACCACCAAGCCCTGCCCCCGCTGCCACGTGCCGGTGGAGAAAAACGGTGAGTCTGGGCTGCGCCCAAGGTGGGGACCGGCTGAGCTCTTCTCAGAGTGTCAGCCCCGGGGCCGGCACAGCCGGGAGCCCCGGGGGTTGGTAACTGGGTGGTTCAGCTCAGGGACTGGGGAGCCATCGCCAGGATGAATCTCAGACCCCCCATCAGGTTTCTTGACCTCCTGAGCTGCAGGTCCTCATCCGCCTGATTGCCCTTGTTACTACTTATTTCTAGTAATATTAGTCGCCTCGTGTCTGCTAAGCTGTCCACTGCTCTAAGCAAACGAAAGAAAAGGTGCTGGGGACACATCCCAGTCCAGTATTTGCTGCACGGTACTCTGGTGTCTCGAGATCCCCAGCAGGGGGTCGAGGGGGTCACCACGCCAAATAATGTTGGCAACTGGGTTCTATTACAGTGGGACCTCGGTTCTCGAACTTAATTCATTCCGGAAGGTTGTTCAAGAAGCAACGTTTTTTCCCATTAGAAATCATACAAATGGAACGAATTCGTCCCAGACCCGCCAGTGATTCCATCTTTTAACCTTTCTTATATAGCGCACGTCTAAGGTACCGTTTAATCTATACACAAACACTTCTTCTCTTGAATGTATCAAACCAGCCCCTCCGAGCCTTACAGGGATCACTCGTTCCGGGGTGTCTTTCAGGGGGTCGGTGTGTGGCACCGCCTCCACATCTCACCGCCTCCAAAATGCTGTCACTGCTGCGTTTCCTTTATCCAAACCAACACCTTTGCTACCCCCTCCGCTGCCTGTCATCGTTGCCTCCTTCATGCCCGTGGCAACAGCAGCACCCCTGCGGCCTCTTAGCGTTGCAGTATCGTGCTGGCTGTCCATTTCCAGCGACAAAAGCGAAGAAACACAAAAACACTCACAGCACAATTTCCTGAGATGTTAACAACGGGAGGTGTGGTGGTTAACTGATCCGTGCTGCGTGTTCCCTCCTTGGTCTGGGGCCCACCGGACGATTTTTGTCGTGCTGATGCGTCAGCACGAAAGGGTTATCAGGTCAAGACCCAAAGTTTGCTCCACAACCGAGACCTTTATTCCACGACAGCTGGGTCAAGTACTGAATTGTTTGCGATGGGAGACGGTCGAGAACCAAGGTTTGATGGTGCATCTCCCTCTCCTCTTGGATAACAACACCGACGAACATGCACCAAGCACTTACTGTGTTTGTTCGAAGTCCTTTCCGAGTGTCAGATGGTTCACCCTGCACAGAAATCACAGAGGAAAGAAGGCTGTTACCCCCATTCACAATACGCAAAAGCGGACAAAAGCATTTCAGAATTCCTTTTGGAAAGAAATGTGCTTGATTCTGTTTAACCAATGAGTTTCCCTTTTGGCGGGGGGGAGGGGGGGGACTATAAAATTCTCTTTTTACCCATCACAGCGACTCACATCCCTTTGAACACGGGGACACCCTTTGGGCCTCGGTTTCTCCTCTTACAGCGGGAGGGTTCGTGCCTCATGGTGTTAGGACACTGGCTCCCTCATTAAAACGCCCTTCCCAGAAACGTGCTTCCCAGCAGGGGTTCTTCTCTTGCCTCTAATGGACGGCCTGTGAGGGGGCCGGTCGGAAAGACCTCCAGACTAAACGGCATTCACTGCAGTGAGGTTCTCCAGGAGCCCGGGAATATGTCCCCCTTTCGGGGTTCCGGGCTTACAAACACCGTATTCGAGTGGTTCTTCCTAACGATACTCTAAACCAGGGCAGCGCCTCACCGGGGGCCGGTCCCCCATCCTTTCACATGCAGCCCCGCCCTCCTCATGAATGCTGGGGCGGGGCAATGGCCCACGTAGGGGGGCTACTGCCCTCACAGACACGCAGCCACGTGCTGCCCTGAAGGTCGTGGAGAGTGAGCAGCTCGGCCCTGCGGTGTCATGTCCGTGCCTCGGCTGTGGATTTTGCTTCCATCGTTGGCATTGCCCTGTCTGGTGGCCATGCCGTGTGGCCTTGTTGTCTGCCGGCCAGCACTGTGAAGCCCTCCCCAGCTGTGTGGCATGACTCAAGGTCAAAGTCAAGTGTGGATTCAGAGTATCCTTTGGGCTGCCCCATTCACAGAGACCCTCAAACTTTGCAGACCCTGGTGGGGCACCTACTGCCACCCACCTGGATTTGCCAACCGGCTCAGAGCCATCACAGCCCAGTGTCCAGAGTCCAGCTGGTCCCGTGTGCTCACTGAGTAGGAGCAGCTCCCCGGGCCGTAGGCTGCCGGGCTGGCTGAGGAGCGGAGCCCAGCCAGCCCGTGAGGGGCGCTCAAGCCTCCCCTTGCCCGGACAGGGCCACTAGAAAGGCTTCATCACTATGACCACGCGTGTTCTGATGCAGCAGGGACAGGCCACACCCCTAGTTCTGAATCAACTCTCCCAGAAAAAATAGTCATGTGCCCCACGAGTCACTGTTACTCCTTTTCACGGTGACTGCTCCCAGGAATGCTCAGGGTTACGTGCACCTCTGCAGAGAAGGGGCCAGAATGAGAGGAAGGAGCTTTCCAGTCCCCCGCCTGAGCGTGTGGTGGGAACAGCGGAGAGGATGGGAGCTCAGGCCCCAGGAGAGGGGGCCCATGTGGGGAATCAGGTCACAGGTCACAGGTATTTAAATGATGCATATTAGATATAGGGTGGGGCAAAACTAGGTTCACAGTTGCATGCGAAACTGTTTCTTCTTACATTATTTATTAATTATTGTATAATTCCCACGTGAGCAACTGTAGACCGCCTATTGCCCACCTGTAGGAAGACACTGTTTGCTGTTGCCAAAGGTCAGGAGCCTTGTCTATCCCCTGGGCCCAGAGAGCCTCTGCCAAATAAACATTTATTGAATTGAAAAGTAGCTGACAGCGGAGGGAGACACGTACGCAGATACTCTGACACAGCGTGGGGGAGAAAGGACAACGGTCTGGAACGTAAGAGCCGGCCTCCTGGAAGACGTGGTCCTGCAGCTGAGACCTGAAGGGCATGTGGAATGAGCCAGCCAGGGCAGTGGGGGCCGACGCTGTGTGCTGAGGCCGGGAGCACAGCCGGACCCTCGGGGCAGGAGGCCCGGTGGGCGGAGTCCCTGGACCGGGCTGGTGGCGCAAAGGCTAGGTGGGCAGGACAGCCCACGCGCCGGAAGGACACGGGGGGCTGGGACTTGGCTCTGGAAGACGGGGCCAATCCAGGGAGAGGACACAGGCAGGTCCGCCTTCGAGGCAGCCCTGGGAGACAGACTTGCAGTCACGTGATCCGTGATGGCAGAAACGTTCCCTCCTCTGTCGTCTCCCTGAGATGCTGGGTGGGGTGTGCTGTCCACGGGGAGCACTCATTCCCCTGTAGATCTCTAACCTCTGGACTGAGCAAGCTGGAGCCTTGAGCTTGTTGACGATCGTCTAAACAGTTTAAAAGTGTTTCACTGCACTCGAAACAAATGTCAGCTCTATTAGCAAGAAAAGCGAGTTTTGTTGTCTCGTTCCGGACCCTGTTCATGTTCAGCTAATCCCAGAAAAGCAGCTACTCGGCCAGCCAAGCTGCAGTGATCGTGAGAACCATTTTCCTTTCGAGCCAGGCTAGCCCTTGCTTTGCTCTCCTATAACCCCGACCCCCTCCGGAAGGTTCTTCCTCCTCTCGGGGAAGGGGAGAATTCACCTCCTCCGCTCTTCTTTGGCTCTTATGGCCCGACTGAGAGTAAAAGGGCAACATCGATCCAAGACTAGGTTAACAGGAGGAAAACCAGTTGAATACACGCGCACGGGAAATTGACAACACGATGCTCGGATCGTAAAATGAGGCTCAAAGAAATGATGGAACTTTTTATGCTTTTAGACACTTTTTATTAGGTGCTTTGTTAAGGCACTTTTTTTTTTAACTTTTGAGGCAAAGAAACAACAAATGTGTGAGAAATGGACAAGACTGAGCAAGCGCGTGCTCATTAGATAGGAATCCAGCAGGTCTGGGCTCAGGTCGCGAGGCCGTAAGGGCCACAAGGTTGGGGTACACGGGCGCTTTCCGCTCTGGGTGTTTTCCCTCCTGTGCTAGGTCTCCCTCCTCTCAGCCCTCGGGAGCAGGGAGGCATGGGCCACAGAGATTCGTTTCCTACGTTTAGGGGGACAGAGGATAGCCAGGGAATTCCTGCTGCCTCTCAAGGGATGTTCATGTGAAGTTGTCACTATGCTGTGGGGGGTTATCTTGGGGCAGCCTGTTCTGGGCCCCCACACTTCACTTCCTCCCCAGACAGCAAAGATCTCTGTCCCATCCTCCAATCAGTGCTTGTTGCCAGTCAAATATGCCTTCGGGTTGTTCAAGCGTGTCGTCTCTCTTTCAGTCTAAGGGGAGTTGCTGGCTGGGACCATGGTGTTGACTTTGCAGCATCTCTGCTTCTTCTCAGGGTGGAGTACTGGTCGGTAGACAGAATTCCCCAAGAGGAAAGCCGTCTCTCATTCTTTTCTTTTCTTTTTAAATTTTTTTTCTTTATTGCTTTTGGAGAGGAAGGTAGAGGGAGAGAGAGATAGAAACATCGATGAGAGAGAACATCGATTGGCTGCCTCCTGCACACCCCCAGTGGGAATCAGGCCCACAACCTGAGCATGTGCCCTGACCTGGAATCGAACCAGCGACCTCTGGGTGCAGGGTCGATGCTCAACCACTGAGCCACACCGGCCGGGCTCTTTCTCATATAAATATCCACAAACACAGCCTCTTGCTCGCATTTGCTTTTAAGCTGGCGAAGCTTATAGAAGCGGAGTCCCTGACGCTTCCCCGTGTTACAAAACCCAGCCTACTGCCCGGTGTGTGTGCGGCACCAGGAGGGAAGACCGCGGGCCCCGGGACAGCCTTTCGCCCCTTTTCCTTTACTCCTGTCCCACGGAGCCACTGTGATCTGGTTTCTGCGATGAAATCTGATTTGTGATGCTGGTATTCCTCCCTCTCCGTGGAGATTTCATACACAGGAAAGCCTTCTCACTCTTTCATCCAGCATCCTTAACACTTGGCTGGCCTTGAGTGTCTTCTGAAGGGTTCTTTAGGCGGTTCCAGAGAGATTGCGCGCCCAGACGCCGCTCCGTGATTCTACTGTACTGACCACACACAGCATTAGATATGTGCTGGACGTTACGCCGTCTTGGGATCGCATAACCCTGAATGAGAGACCCTAGGTAAAAGTGTCACGGGTGGGTTTTTCCTTTATTTTCCACATCTTTTGTAATTTTTAAATGACCTACAAGCCAAAAGAAGTCTACAAGTATGGAATTTTAATGCCCTTAAATTATCCTACCACAAATGCCTTTCGTCACATATTCATACAAATGTTACCTTCGCTGAAGTTCCCACGCCACGTTTTCAATAATAAAAACGGGGCCGTGCTGAAGCGATCACGTGGAAAGTTTGGCAAGAAAGAGATGGCTTCACAGATCCTTGGTGAACGTGGGCGACGCTCGCTCAGTGTCATGTCGGGTCCACGCAGAGACCCTGCTTTCCCTGAGTGCCTGCAGATCTGGTCAGAAAAGTCTCCGCATCTGTACACGCAACCACCTCCTCGGCACTTCACAGCGACCTGGCGTCTGAGCCCCAGCGGGACAAAAGGCACGTGCTTGACAGACTGGGGGGGGGAGTCCTAAAGTAAGTCCCAAGGTAATGCATTCTCCGTCCGTGCTGGAGAGGCCCTGCTCTGGCAGAGAAGGAGCATTGGAATCACGAAGATCTGGGTTAGACCCCAGGCTTCATCCCTGACCTTGAAAAGGTTCTACACCAAGCAGTGCTCTCCAGGGTGCTTCTAGGAGTGAACGAGATGATACATGTAGCAAGCCTAGCATTATCATTGTTTCTTTCCATCCTTCTCATCTTGGCTAAGGAACATATTCCCTGCCCCAGCTCCTGTTTCATACAGTCCGCCAAGCCAAGCAACCCTGAGGAAACAGAGAGCACTCATAGTATTTAGTCAGTGTTCTATGTTGTGTGTTACATTACTATATGAATACATACAGTATAAATGTAACACCTGCTTAAAGAAGGAATTGATCCTTCAGAGAAACACGAAGCGAAGCGTGTCTCTAAATCCCCCCAGGAGAAGTATAGGAGCCCAGCTGCACACGTCAGAGTTGGCCTTGAAGGACATGGCCTTTCGTGCCCAGAGCCATCTGATTTGTTTTCCTGGGGTTGCTGGGGTGGGCCCTTGGAAAGTCGCTTCCAGAACCGCGTGTGGGAGTGGGCACCAGTGTCCACAGCGTGCTGCCTGTGTCCTTTGCCCGCAGGAGGGTGCATGCACATGAAGTGCCCGCAGCCCACGTGCCAGCTGGAGTGGTGCTGGAGCTGTGGCTGCGAGTGGAGCCGCGCCTGCATGGGTGACCACTGGTTCGACGTGTAGCTGCCGTCGGCTCGGGAACACCGTGTCCTCTTGCACACACGCAAGCACACACACACAAATACGCACACACACAAACATGCACACACACACATTCACACACGCACACATGCACATGCACATGCACATGCGCACACAAACATGCACATACTCAAGCACACACATAAACATATGCACACCCACATACACACCCACATACACATTCATGCACGCACACAAATACACACACATGCGCACACACATGCACACACACAGGTGCACACACACACATGCCTGTGCCCACGCGCACACACATATACATGCACCACACACACACACACAGTTCTTTCCGACATCACAGAAGCAGGTTCGGGGCACCCCTGCACCCCTGGCACCACCCCGTGGAAAGCAGCAGCTCTGGGAGACCAGCGAGACGGAGTCTGAGGCGCCAGCGACCCGCACGCACCCCGCGCAGACGAGAGGCCTTCCTGTTCTTGAGGGGCTCGGGCAGGCCGGAGGAGCACACCCGCAGAGACTTCTCCGGTTTCCCCTCCTGCGTCCTCCCGTCGGCCAAGCTGGGAAGAAGCTGCTGAGGCAGGGGAGGCCCTCCCTCCGAGGGTCTGTTGCGGGCTCTCCGGCTGGGCGCGGCGGGCCCCCAGAACGCGAGTCACCACTGGCAGAGGCTGCTCTGAATACGCCCACGGAGCACCGCTTCCCCAGGAACCACAGGCAGCAGTCCCAACACTGCTTACCCCACACACAACATACGCACCCACGCATACGCACCCACATACACATTCACGCGTGACACAGTGGCGCATGGATCAGTCTGTCACGGGAGTGAGAAATGATGGGGGCTGATTCGAAGGTGGAACGCTTAAATTGCAGGGAAGAAATCAAAATGTAATGTCCTTTCGTGCCACTTAATTATTGCGATTTTAGAAACTGTTTTTCTGGAAATATTACCAAGTCTATCGTTTGATTATAAACCTCCATTCTGCAGCTTGGGCACGGGCCGCTTACCTTGGCTTCGCTGTACACCGAACAGGAACGGCGCCTGTGGGGGAGGCATTCTTCGAAGTGGGCTCGTCATGATGGGGCGGTAATGACAGTGCAGGTTACTCAAACCGAACCTTTCAAGGAGACGTCCCAGGACTGTAACAATGAACCCATGCCTGCCCTTCAGGAGGGTTTCGGCTCTTTCTGGGCGCCCGCCCTGTTCCCCAACCCGCAAACCTCGCAGCTGACTCCAAGGAGCATCCTTTTCCTGGTAAACTCACCTCGGATGTGTCCTCATGTTGGCATGGGCTGAATTAGATTGTTGATCAGCTTTTCAGCTTTTTTTTGTTTTGTTTTTTGAGGCATTCACAACGCATCAAAAAGATGTGTTTACTCTAAATAGAGCGAACCTCCCTTCCCACAGCGTGGGAGGCACATGAAAAAGCGTGCCCACCCACTGTCTTCTGTCCTCGTCATCTGTCTTCTCAAGATGACGGTGACCACACTGAAGGCACAGTGAGTCCACCAGCACGGGGGTCCCTTTTGCACTTAGGGACTCTGGTAATTATAAAATCAGCAACAGGACCTCTCTCCGTAGAAGTAGCACCGGAAGTCCTTGCTGAGGGAAAAGGGAAGAGACCTCAGAAAATGTCCTGAGGCCACCGACCCCTCTTTCCCAAACCGTCCACCCAGGGACAGCCCTTCCCGCTGTCCTCCCCACAGAGGCCCTGTCCCTGAGGCTGAGGCTACATGGCGGCCAGGAGCCTCAACAGCATCATGTGGCTTCTCTGTGTCCCACGTGGCCCCCAGGCCACCAGGCTCGGTGCAGACCTGGGGAGCCGAGGTCTGTGAGTGGGAGAGAAAGGAAGGTCGCAAGGCTGACCCCACATGTCCCACACGGCCAGTGTCAGTGGTCAGACTGAAACACTCAGGGCCTGACTCCGTTCCCGACAATCCCAGTTAGGTGGCAGCTCCTGGCACTGACCCGACATGGCAATCAGAGGACCCTGGTCACGCGGTGGCCGTCACACCCTCCATGGCTGTGAGCTTCATGATGCCACACTGTCGCCTCGTTCCAGACCCGCGGGGCTGTCAGGTGTGCGGCGGCCAGAAGGTTCGCTCACCGGGCTCAGCCTCGGTCAGAGTCCCTAGATCCCGGCTCCTTTCCTGGTGGTTGGCTCTGTTTGTTTTTTGCAGAACAGAATACTGACTCTTAAAACACGTTAAAGAAAAAGCCACTAGAAATGAATGTGAATCCCAACCACTACTAATGAGCATGTTTGAGTGTGACTGAGATAACGAAATGTGAACACAGCCAAAGCGTGGATATAAAGGCTTTGCTAAGCATCTCTATTTTTCTCTGAAATGTGTAAAGAAATAGTTGACAACTAGGCCTAAGGTTGTATTTCAATTGTCAATAAAAGCATCAAAAGAGCTGTTGGGTCTGCCTGGGAGGATCTGTTTTCAGTGAACGCGGACACCTCGGGGGGAGCCCGGACACACAGGATGACACCTCGGGGGGCAGCCCGGACACACAGGATGACACCTCGGGGGGAGCCCGGACACACAGGATGACACCTCGGGGGGAGCCCGGACACACAGGATGACACCTCGGGGGAGCCCGGACACACAGGATGACACCTCGGGGGAGCCCGACACACAGGATGACACCTCGGGGAGCCCGGACACACAGGATGACACCTCGGGGGAGCCCGGACCACAGGATGACACCTCGGGGGGAGCCCGGGACACACAGGATGACACCTCGGGGGGGAGCCCGGACACACAGGATGACACCTCGGGGGGAGCCCGGACACACAGGATGACACCTCGGGGGGAGCCCGGACACACAGGATGACACCTCGGGGGGGGAGCCCGGACACACAGGAGGACACCTCGGGGGGAGCCCGGACACACAGGATGACACCTCGGGGGGAGCCCGGACACACAGGATGACACCTCGGGGGGAGCCCGGACACACAGGATGACACCTCGGGGGGAGCCCGGACACACAGGATGACACCTCGGGGGGCAGCCCGGACACACAGGATGACACCTCGGGGGGAGCCCGGACACACAGGATGACACCTCGGGGGGAGCCCGGACACACAGGATGACACCTCGGGGGGAGCCCGGACACACAGGATGACACCTCGGGGGGGAGCCCGGACACACAGGATGACACCTCGGGGGGAGCCCGGACACACAGGATGACACTTCGGGGGGAGCCCGGACACACAGGATGACACCTCGGGGGGCAGCCTGGACACACAGGATGACACCTCGGGGGGAGCCCGGACACACAGGATGACACTCGGGGGGCAGCTGGACACACAGGATGACACCTCGGGGGGAGCCCGGACACACAGGCTGACACCCGGGGGGCAGCCCGGACACACAGGATGACACCTCGGGGGGAGCCCGGACACACAGGATGACACCTCGGGGGGCAGCCTGGACACACAGGATGACACCTCGGGGGGAGCCCGGACACACAGGATGACACCTCGGTGGGGAGCTTGGACACACAGGATGACACCTCGGGGGGAGCCCGGACACACAGGATGACACCTCGGGGGGAGCCCGGACACACAGGATGACACCTCGGGGGGGGAGCCCGGACACACAGGATGACACTTCAGGGGGAGCCCGGACACACAGGAGCCCCGTGGTCTGGAAGGGTCACCTGGTGAGGAACGTCATTTTCATCTCGAGTCCCGGCTCCAGACTAACCCTCTTGGTTTTCCTTTGTAAAAGCAGTTTCGTACGTGCTCAGAGCTTTGAAAGGGCTCTGAATGCACACCGTCATTTTAAAATCAAACAGTGACACTTTCCTGTCTTAGCAGCAAACTTTTCCAATAAATGTTTGGAACAGAAGTTTGAGCTGCACAGCCCTCAAGGGTCTTGTCTGTCATGTCACTTCAGATCAGCTCGGTGACTGCATGGGTCCCCGTGGGCGTGTCTCCTTCAGTGTCTCCTTGTTCGTCTCCCACGAGCCCATGCTGCAGGGGTCTGCAATGAGACAGTCGTGGGAGCACACGGGTCTCCAGGAAAGATGGCCCAGCATGCACAGCAGAGGCAGCAGGGGGTGAGTGGGCGTCCCCACCGCCTACCTGTGCGAGCCTGGGGCACGACAACGTCCAGCTCCCGGGACGGCACCCGGACTGAGCCGCTCGATTCACAGGCTGCACAGTGCCCCGCGTAGCAGGCACTCGGTGAGAGCTCCCCGTGATCACTGAGTGGACAAGTCCGTGGACACCACCAAACAAACTCACACAGAAGCACAAAACTACTGCAAACTAATTGCAGCCACCAGGGCTGGGTCTGAGCACCCACACATTTAGTGACTTCATGGTGGACACAGGGACCGAGCCCCGGTGGGACTGGGTGTGCTGGCCGCTTTTGCACGGTCCCGTTCCCATCTGTGTTTGACAGGGTCCAGCTGGTACACAGGTGGTCTCCGGGGTGTCGGTCACGGAGTGGAGATTGTGGATGGGAATGAATAAGCACACATGTGGAATGCTTATTCCAAAAGAAACAGCAGACATGGGGAAAAGCCAACATCATGGTTTGAGCGGGTACACGTCCCACCACCATATACCCTTGCTCGGCCATTTAGGATACTATGGAGAGAATCCATGTCAGTGTGTGTGTGTGTGTGTGTGTGTGTGTGTGTGTGTGTGTGTGTGTGAATCCTCACCTGAGGATATTTTTCCATTGATTTTTTAGATAGAGTGGAAGGGAGGGAGGGGGAGAGAGAGAGAAACATCAATGTGAGAGAGACACATGGATTGATTCCCTCCCGCATTGCCCCAACCAGGGCTGGGGATCAAACCTGCAACCCAGGTACATGCCCTTGACCTGGAATCAAATCGACAGCCCTTTGGTCCACAGGCTGATGCTCTAACCACTGAGTCAAATCAGCCAGGCCGTGGCATCATTTTAAACCCTGTTCTTAAACGACAGTGGGCCTGTCATCAGGCTCCCATTGTAAGTACACTGTCCAGCCTCAAATGTTTAAGAACTTTCACTACAGTTTGAATAATTGTGGGGGAAAAGGAGGGGGGAGTGTTGTCTTAGAAGATCCATTTGGCACCCAGATTG